GGTGCTCAAGCGAAAGTTACCCCAATATTAGTTAGTTCTAGCGATCTAATGTGTTATGATCGCAACTGCTGGGGCTTAAAGTAGTTAGAATAAAGCTTTTAATCCCACTGGACAGTGCGTGATTAGATGGCAAGCCACACGAACCAGATAAAACAGCCGACAATATGGGGTAAGCTGAAAGGGTATGTCAGACACTGCGTCGCATAGTCGGGGGCCTCAAGCATCGGAATCGCAATGGAGTAGCGGGTGAGAGGGAAGTTCATGATCAGTGGTGTGGGACGACGTTGTACTTGTAATGTACCAGATTGCATAGCATATCGTACTGTATAAGCGCTGTGATTCGCTAGCCAAAATAGCGCTAACCTGATGTCACACATTCCAGCTGAGAGGGAATGTGCCCACATTTCATGCGATCTTCCAAAACCGTGGAAACGTGAATAATTGTCTGCACAGAAGTGATGTGCGTATGCTGCTGGCTTAAAATTGAAAGTTATCGCGTTTGCCGAGCAATCTAATAATTGGATGGCTGCACGCCATTTCACGGTGAAAGAAAAGTAAGGGAGAGATTGACGAAAGCAAAACAGAATTGTCACGAATACCCGCAGGCAAGAGAGCAGTACACGGTGGAACAACCATGTTTCCTACACTGGAAGAAAAGCTAGCCCAGTGGGTTATGGAGGCACGGCACAGCGGGTTAATTGCTACTCGAACAAACATGCAGATAAGAGCGCTCACGATGTTAAAAGGTCCGGAATTCCAGCTATCAAAACCGGTGAATATTGTTGCTTCCTACGGATGGTGAAATCGTTTTATGAACCGATTCGACATGTGTCTACGGACCCACACAAAACTAGCCCAGAAACTGTCAAAGAAATTGGACGGTAAAATTGAATCTTTTCCATGGTTTGTGATTCGGCTGAGAAAGCAATACAACATTGAACCGTCCCAAATAGCAACTATGGACGAGATGTCCGTATGCTTTGATATGCCTTCAAGTCGCACGGTGGAGCAGAAAGATACTAACACAGTTTTTGTACAGACGATGAAACACGAGAATACACAGTTCACAGTTGTTTTAGGGTGCATGGCGGATGGTTCCCGTCTATCACCTTTCATTATTTCTCAGCGTAAGACACCGCCTAGAGGAGCGAAGTTTCCAGACGTCATATTTGTGCGGGCTCGCGCGAAAGGATGGATGGACGGGAGTTGCACTATAGACTGGCGGAATACAGTACGTGGAAAGTGAAGCAGTGCCCTTTTGAAGGAACCATCTACGTTGGTTTGGGATTCCTTAGGGCACACGGAACTGAGAACGTGGAGAAACGATGTCGTGAACTATAGTCGTCCGTGGCCATACTTCCCCGTGAACTTACAGCAATCTTGCAGCCACTGAATGTCTGTCTCAATAAGCCCTGTAAATATAGGCTTCGGGTCAGGTGGATGGAATGGGTGGCATAGTCTGATTTAGCGTTGATGAAGGGTGGCAATGTAAAAAATGGCTGGCCTTGTAACGATTGCAGAGCACGTGTAAAAATTGTAGATGGATATTCCATCAGAAATTATCGTACGATAGTTCAAAAATTGCTGCATCAGCAATGTTATGGATGGAAAGGAGGACGGCGCGCTTTTTGAAGAATACGACAATGAGGAGAACAGTGAAGTTGAAGAAAACGATATTCACACTGACGTTCCAATGACAGACGACCAGTACCAGAAACTGTTTGGATATGATGACTCGAATTCTAATTGCGAAGCATCTGAGTAATTTTAATACCACTGTGCAGCGTTTGGATATGTGAGCCTATAAAATCTACCGGTGCGTTCCGTTCTGTCATGTCTTTTTCCAATTTTATTGTGTGTGATGATGTCCGATTCTGTATAATCAGTATGTCTCGGTTATTGACATCCGTCACGCAAGTAGATGTGCAATATACCGAGAATGTTTGACACAAACATAATGTATCTCATCGTCATTATAATACACGTTAGCTAGAGGTGTAATACACCTCAGCTACTGTGACGCATATTGCACTTCAAATGCACTTCAAATCCCCGCCTGGGCTACCGTCTGTCACTAGCGAGTGGCGCAAAGGAAAGAGAGGAGCAGATGTGTGCAGTGAATTTTTGGGTGGATTTTGCATGTGACTTTTGCAACTTACGAATAACCTTATTATAAGCCGACCTCCCACTACAGACATGGAAAATTGTCCAAATTTCCTCGGCTTGTACGCAGTAACATACTGTAAATCACACAAAAATCCATTACGTGTCGGCTCCTCAGTCATCCATACAAATCCATCTCCTCCATTGGCTCCACGTCAAAAGCGTCTGACATGTAATACGCTTTTCTGAGTGTACACTAGTTCGTAAAGTCTAGTTACTAAAATCCCTGAACTGCGACTTCGTCAAGAATCAAACACTTGTGAACTGATCGCTATAATGGCGACATGATTACGCCCCGACGTAAACGACATCGAAATCGGACTGCAAGACATGTCCATTGTACAGCATAATCGACCCAGCAAAGTTGGAGGTGTGGCGCTGTATTTCTGTAATGACTTCCAATGTGCCGCCATAGAAAATCCGGTCAAAACAGAACAGAATTCCGTCTAGAATTAAAGGGCGACGACGCCTGCTCGGTGGCGGTCGTCTACCGCCCTCCCTCCTCCACACCCGAGATGGAATCCGCACTAAGGCGGCCGATAAACATAGAATCCAGTCACATTCTTATTACTGGCGATTTCCAAACCCCCGCTCTGGAATACCAAGCTGCTCCTAGATAGCAGTTCAAGGCGGATCTACAAAAAGTTCCCTCCAGCTTCCCGCCGAAGGCCACCTCAGAACCCTTACCAGATACACAGAAGAAGACAGATAGTCTACACTGGATCAGATATTCACCAACGAAGAACTGATGATCTAGGACAGGGTTCAACAAACTACGGCCGGTGGGGTTGGGTCCGTCCCGCGATCTCAGCTCATCCGGCCCGTCAACTGTGGCTGAATTTGGGTAGCCAAATAGTACACATGTCCACCCTAGCTCTGTGTTTACGGCACCAAGGCCATAAAATGTCACCACAGCAACCCAACTCTGCTTGGCCGCAATATATCGATTAGCAGGTTCACCAGATTGTGCGATACTCGAAGTATGGCACATTCACCGGGACCGCTCACACCACTGTCGCACATCGTGCGGCAAGATCAATAGCTGAACGCCAGCTTAACACCATTCATCTGCCTGCAAATTAATCTGCATTTGACCCACACAGTCGTCTGTCTGTCACGCTCCCAGCGCGGTGCGCCGTAGATTTCTTGGGGATGTCACTGATTCAAGCAACATATAAGCAAGCTTACTCACGGCGTAGTAACCTGTACGAACACCGCTTGTGGGGGTGGGTATGTATGTCACAGCGTCTTGGCAGCTTCTTCGAACCCACGGTGTTCCCCAGAAGTGTAAGCTCGAACAGATACAGGGAGAACGCTACAGGCGTCACAAAGCAGGTCATATATTTGCTAACTGTTGAAACAGCGAAGGGTGCAGAGTGCCCGTGATAAACGAGTTTGCCGGAAGCGTTGGATTTAGGCGGTTTCTGTCTGTCTGTGCTCACCTCTGGCTGGTATTCACAGAACAGCAATTAAAAACTACTGCTATAAGCTTTCTATTTAGGCCGGCCCCATGCACATATTTTGCATCGCACCTTATGTGATATATTAATAAAATTACCTATAACCTGTAGGACAAATTTAACGTGCACTTCAGATGAGGCGTAGCTTTATCAGACATCCTTAATTCTTTGCTTTGCTTGTGTTCCGGTAGGATGTTAACCAGGTTTCCAATTAAACGCCTTTTTCAATACCAACTCCGGTATACCGCACCGCTCTCTATGGCTAATAGAAAGTTAATAATGGACACTGAGTGTTGCGTCTTAAACAAAGAATAGGGAGTAAAATAATTTTGCGGAAACCGTGGACCGGGAAATCAGTTGCGTAATACGCGGAGAAAGTGTTGCCGTTTTGGAAGAGTGCAAGTTTCGGAGTCCGTACGAAACAAAACACATATAAACCTGTTCAAAGTTTTCGGGAAAACCACGGTCGGAGAAATATGAGCCCATGAAAAGTGGTTTAGAAACAAGAAATTCCCCACAAGGGAATTTTCTCTGAAGGTGCATCTGACAAAAGAGCTTTTACAAAATAGTGCGAAATATGTCAGGAGGAAAAGAGTTTACTGATGGTGGCTCACTCAAAGAGTGTATCATGGAAGGTGCGAATGATTTGTCCTGAGAAAGCCGTCTTGTTTACAACCATCAGCTTTTCGGCGGGTCCAATTGTGCTAAGTACAACAGAACTTGGACAGAACGTAATGTTGCAAATACATGAGAAAGCCACAAACGTTTTGTGACCATCTCCGGCACTGGATGAGTATAGGGATTTGTTGAGTACGTCACAACTTCTCGTGTTCATTTGCGGTGCGATATCGGTTTCCGAGAGTAAGAGTTGGGATCGGTCCGTTGCACGCATGAAACTACAAATCGAAACGAAGTTTTCTTGTAAATGCACATACTTTCGCAAGACATAAAGTTGCCTCTAGCTATCCGCCTTATGGCCACCTCAGCATTCCCACCAGATGCAGAGAAGCAGATAGACCGTGGAATCGGTTTCGACGTGTTACAATTGGTGCAGAGAGAAACATGGTTGAAGTGAGAAAGAGTTTTGTAGTGCGGAGCAGAACTCAATCAAAGGATTTGTAATTTACGGTTGCTCTGTTCATACACTGCATCCTGCATCAACACGCACCCTGTGAGAAAATCTTGGGTATTTCTTGTTTGATGAAGCCAGTGCTGTTACATTCATTCGGGGACATGCTCTCAATCGCAGTTAGTTTCCGTCGTTTCTGTAGAATATTTGTTCGGAGTTCTCGGATTTGCCTTCACATCACATATAAGTGCAGTGGCTCAGCTGAGGTACAGTACTGTTTCGTTTCACGAGCCCCGAAACGAAATAGCTGCCTTCCTCACTGGCAAACTGGAGCTGACACACAGATTTCATATTCTACCTGGTTATCTAAATTAGCATTTATGCTTGACATCACATCCCATATGAATGAAATGAGTCTGAAACTGCAAGGAAAGGAGAATCTCACCTATGATTACTACAGATGCATCAACGGATTTCGGAGAAAGCTGTCATTGTTTTAAACAAAATTGGAAGGAGAAACGTTTGTTCATTTTCACAATTGTAAAGAATTTAAAGCTGAGGTCAGTGAAGACGTCCGTCTTGATTTCCTGAGAACAATTATTCGTCATTTGAGTATACACTCCATAGAGGGATTTTCAGAAATTGACAAGTGAGGGTAAAATTCTTCTGGTCACGAATCCGATTGCAACATTGATGACGTCCCAATTGAGCCAATAGATTTGCAGACAAGTGAGCTTTAGAAACGGAGGCATATGGAAGGAAAACTTGTTGGATTTCGCTCCGCTCTTCAAACGTTGTACCTCCGGAACTAAAGAACAAATTACCACTGAAAGCAAACAACTCCAAAATGAAGCTTGTGAAGTCAAGCCGGAGAATTAGACTAGCTGATGAACATTTGAAAGTAATTCTATTAATTAAGCACAGGAAATCTAAAGAAAAATGCTGATAATTGAAGAGCCAAACACTTGCTTCACAAATATTACCAATCCTTTCCCCGTCTAATTTGTGCAACCCAGATGTAACTAATCTTTTGCGTACGCCACTGCTATAAATAATTTCTCAGTTAATAAATATGTTGTTTTTATAAATTGTGCGCCGTTCACCTATGTTTAACACGGAATGCTGAGATTAGTTGTTTCATGTAGGTTTCAGAATTGCTTTCTGCCATGCGAGATCTGCACTGAAATGTAATGTGGTCCGCGGTTGTACTTTCGTTGGCTATCCGGCTCTCCACTGACCAATGATTCAGTAAGTGATCGTCGACATCCCATTGGGCCGTGACGATCACGTAGTCTGACTGCTCGAATACATCACTTTTGCGGTTGTGGCAAAATCCACGATGCGAAGAACAGTGCGTTCACATGCAAACGCGAGCCAAATTGATATGGTCAACAGCGTATTCCGAATGTGAGGTCACAACAAATGGAAATCTGCATAGATCATCTTGCTCAATAAGTAGGCGCAGGAAGTTTGATTCTTCTGAATTTCGACCGCATATGCCGCATCCAACAACCTGACTGGTCTTCACTCTAAACACGCGGTAAGTTACCCGATTTCCCAATTCGTTGCACTGAGTCCCGGTGAATGCTGAAGAGCAGTTTGCGTCTCGATGGAATCATAACTCTGCACGCAAACCCCTGGGCAACTTGTAACAAATAGTCCCAGTAATCAACGAGCTATCACAAGGAACGCTTACCAAAAATATTCCAAAAGACGAACGCATCCAGTTTTACCAAAAGCATAGTCACCTCATAAAGGTGGATGATCGTCCCACACTCAACGGATAAACCAACATTCCAAATGTGTCCCAACTCGATTGCACTCAAACAACTTCAAACAATCTATCTACATTGATTACGAAATGAAACATGCTGTCAGGGGTGGCTCATACTGTACCACAATAAATGAACCCGTGTGGGAATAAGAATGTCACCATAACTGTACCACTAACCAATCGTCGGTTAATCGGTCTGAGCTCAATTACATTGTCAACGGGACTGATTCGTCATGCGCATGATCATCAGTACACTTTAACTAAAGGTGAGAAACACACTTCAACTATGGTGCTGCAACCTAACTACAAAAGCATGTGAAAAACATGATTCTACACATATTAGAATACGAAAGCAACATTTAGTACAATGCTAACTGGCATATTATGCTTCAAGCTAGAGATATGGTTCGGAAGTAGAACATGAGCGGAATGAGGTAGGACAACGAACTATTAACACAATCGCCATTGAGGTCGGCTCTTCGGCATGTCAACAGTGTATCCAAATGATTGCCCCAGGTGGTTGGGGGTACAGGCTAAGACAATACATATAAAGACTAGGGGGCACATCAAACACAGATTTGAAGTCGGGCAACTCAGTCAGCATTGCACTTACTCAAGTGGATCGCGGTTACGTGCCGTTGGAGGTGACTCTTCAGTGCAAAAGATTTGTCGCAGTACTCACAGGTGTGGTCTCGCTGTTCTGGAACAAATGACAAGTCGTTAGCTGTTATACATAACACGAATGAGTGAAAAATGCTGCGGCGCCAAAAGCAAGACTTTAATGCAAATGGAAACGTCTTTAGACACAATGACTGAATAATCGTTGGGAAGCCGGTAAAGGATATATTCCACAGTAGATGTTTGCCTCATCCTCATTCTCACATATAAAACACCGCTTCATATGACGTTTTCCACCAATCTGCATGACAATGAGAACGTGAGTGGAAGTCAATTATTGTTTACGACTTGCTACACCGCAGTGTGCGCATATAAATGTGCATAAACGGAAATGCTAGAGACCGCAGTTGAGTCAGTCTCATGGTTCAACTGCGAAATGTGGCCAACTATCAGATGATATATTCTAACCTCAAGGGTTGGTCTAAATCCGTGCCACACTCTATGGATAACACACCAAAAATACAGCGTTGCTCGCGGATCTGTGGCATAAGCCATCAACTGCTATGTCCCGCATTTCACTCCCAGCACAGACTACCTCCATGGTTGAAACCTGGACAGTGCTGATTTACTACAAAATAAATGTTCCAATTTCAACGTCAGATCAAATATCAAAAGCGAGTGCTGAGTTAAGAATTCATATCGGCCAATCTAGCAATCCTTGATGGTTTTTCTGGTGAGAACAAACATGCACGAAGACAATCGTGGAGTACATTCGTGAGGGCGGGCAGCACCAGAGACTCAGCAAGTATACATGCTGTCCACGCACTATACACAGTGTTTAGCGAAGAAAGCTTTCCCGCTGACCGTGAGCGTCCAGCACCGCCAGAACGGAGCAGGAAACCATCGTAGTTACGTCGTACATAAGATGTAGTTAGCTCTTGAAACAATCAGCAATAATGGGCGAGCGCGTCAAAAAATACCTCTCCGAATCACAAATCTAACTGTCTCCTTCTCGTTTCTAATTACTATTTCCTCCTGGATATCAAGACAAGAATACGATCAACCATTCTCTACAACTCACCCACTTCGAACCACAATAGAAACCAGTAAGGAAACTGGACGATGACAGGTGACTTTTGATCCGTAACGAAAACAAGGCAGTGGCAATTATGAGTCACTTTCCTCGAGACCTTACACTTCATGCTCTATGGGATGAAAATCATTATCTGCAAACAATCCATCTGAACATGAGTCTATCTCAACTTCCGCATTCATCTCTTGAGCTGTTAATATTCTACGGGAATACCACACTAAAGTGTTATTCCGAATTTCCACACGATGAGAGCGTTCACAAATGGTTCGCCAAAGGATCAACACGGTGGTATATAACAATGCTCTCATTCCCGGAACACCTGCTAACATTTATACTCACCGATCAATTCACATTCATGCGATTTGCGGTAACACAAGTACTGAGTGGTGGAGAGCACAGAATTGTCCTGGAGGTCGAGTTGGTGTTACGAGGAATACATCTACGATGACAATGCGATAAAGGATAAACTTAAATTACCACATTCATTCGGGGTCACTCAAACGTCCGCCGAGGGAAAACTAGGTTACGCCCAGAAAGCCGTATGAGAACACCGCATTCTGGGCGCTTGGATGAACGAGCATCAGTGTGCACGAATGGAATTCCTCCTCCATGGACACAGACGGTGAGCTCGATATACCGTGCCTAACTAATGTTCACGTTCCTCGGCATGTGGGTCAGCATATGATTGCATACTAAGTCCCCATTGTGAAACACTCTGAGGGAAGCAACCGTTAAATATCACCGCTTCTGATTTCAATCGGCGTAATCAACCAACCTCCCCAGCACGATAATTGTCTACACCAGACGCTCATATGACGTACGGACGCAACACACAAAGCACGATGAAACACATATCCGAACTTGACCTGACGATCGGCGGCCGAGGTCTAGCAGACGATGAGTCGATGCTTGCCAGGGAAACGGGCAACGACCACTCGCCTATCATAATCCCAGGACCGATAAACCGAAAGGAAGTATTATGTGCTTAACGATTACGTTTGTGAAAATACCGTTGACCTGATCCCGTTACACGAGTCGTTCCTGTTCGAAAAGCGTCGGCGTAAGTCGACCCGAAATACAAGTACATAACAGTACGCCGTACTCACTTGGTTCTGTTCTAAGTGTACTACTGTTCCACTTGCTAAATGTGCACTACCACTAGCACAGAAGTACGGTAGTCTAGTCGCCGAAACTGAAGATCTTTTAAGTGCGAAAATTACTATGATCGAGACAGCAATAGCACAGCTTGCAAATCATCCGTCTCCCCAAAATGGTATCACGAAAACAAGAAAAAGAACCAGACGTTCCAAAGGTCACGCATTATCAAAAAACCATGGGAACCAGGAACCAACTCGTCGTCGCGAA